GGGGAGCCTCTTGGGGCCAGCGTCGCTTGGGGGCCTCCTGAGGGCCTCTTGGGGGCGTTTGGGGCCTCTCAGGGGCCCTCTTGAGGCCTCCTGGGGGCTTCTTAAGGCTGAGGGCTCGAAGTTTTGTTTTGTGTTCCCCCTTTGGGGCATCGCTTGTGGCCCTCTTGGGCCCCTCTTGGGCCGTCTTGGATGCCTCTGGGGCCGTCTTGGAGCCCTCTTGGGCCATCTTGGGGCCGTCTTGGGAGCTTCTTGGGCCCTCTTGGAGCGATCTTGGGGGCCTCTTGGGCCGTCTTGGGGCGTCGGGAAGCCGAAAAGATGGACACGCCAAAATCTGAAGTAATGAATTTTGCCTCTTGGGGCCCTCCGGGGAGTGCTCTTGGAGGCCTCTTGGGGCGTCTGGGGGCCATCTTGGGCGTCTTGGAACGATCGTGTGGCATCTCGGAACACTCTTGAACCATCTTGGAGGGCTCTTGGCGGCCTCGTGGCCCTTCTTGGGGCTCTCTGGAGGGCCACGGGGGCGGCGCCCAGGAGGAAAACCATCTCTGATCCGAGTCTGCTGGGGATCGCCCGGGGTACTTTTCGTCCGGGGACCCCCAGGGGCCGCCCCGCGCGCGCGAAGTAGAAGTATTATTTAGCAGTTACCGGAGATCTTAGCACGCCTCTGGCCCATTGGGCTGGCGAGTTGTAAGTTCTCGGTGTGGGTCGGCAGCAGCGGCGAAGCAGGGGCCTCCTCCCAGGAGGGGGGCAGCGTCAAAGCAGCGGCCACGTGAGGGAAGGCAACAGAGTGGGCGCGCGGAAGCCCGAGGCGAGCGGCAAGACCAGCTCGCCAGGGGCGGCAGGCGCAGCATCAGCAGCGCGGTGGCCAGAGCCTACCCCAGCCACGCAGCGCGGAGCCGCCACGGGGGACCCAGAGGCACGCGCGGCTCCAAGGGCAGGAGCGGTCTGCTGGCGGGTTGTCCATGTGCCGAAGGACGGGTGGCGCCTAAGCAGCAGAAGCGCCACGCGGGAGGGCCCGGTGGGCGTGGGGGGAAACACCGAGTGGCGCAAGAAGAGAGGCGGAAGGGAAGGCACCGAACAAGTGCCCCAAAAGTGTCGAGAGGTGGTGCAGGCGACCCGCGGGGGAACCGCCCAGCAAGAGTGGGGGTGGGGGTACGCGCGGAGCCACGTCGGCGGGTGCATAGCGATGGCGTCCGCAAGGGAACGCCAGGCCGAAAGGCGGGGCAAACGAGAGCGGGGGAATAGGAGAGCAGCCCAAGCTGGGCGGGGCGTAGCACCGAACAGGTGCACTAGCGAAACGGAAGCAATGTGGAACCCAAGCAGGCCAGGCTGCCGCCCATGTGGGGAGGCAGCGGGGGGTAGGCGCGGGGCCGACACACACAGGGCCAGGAAGCGAAGGGGGGGCACGTCCGCGCAGAGGAACTGGCCCCTGGGGCCCCCGCGCGATTTCAGGGGGGGCACATTGTCATCATTACCACCCTCATCGACGACGACGGCAATGACGAGTATGATGCTGATGATGCTGATGATGCTGATGATGCTGATGATGATGATAATGATGATGGTGATGATGATGATGATGATGATGATGATGATGATGATGATGGTGATGGTGATGATGATGATGATGATGATGATGATGATGATGATGATGATGATGATGATGATGATGATGATGATGATGATGATGATGATGATGATGGCGATTGACGGTCCGATCCGCGAAACAACGCGGGCGACGACGGGCGACTCAGCTCCGCGCCGCGACCGAGCAAGCGGCAGCGGCCGCCAGGTGGGCCTAGACTCCTGTCTCAAACTACGAGCGCAAGCCCATTGCGGTGTGCGCGATGCATGGCTGGCGGAAGTAGCAGGGCTAGCTCATGGCGGAACCGTAAGGGCACGTCTACTTGACCCATCCCCCTCGCTCTTTACGTTTCCCCCTTCTCCATCCTGGGCCCAACGATCATCTTCGCAGATCCTCTTGTGGCCCCTGACAGCACCATACGGAGCGCTCCAGAAAGGGCCTTGTCTTCAAAGGATTGAGAGGTTGACGTCCTTTCATCGGCGGAAGGCGGCGGAAGTAAGACAAGGACGGCTCCGCCACCCAAGTACAAGATGATCCCCCAAGAGGTGCCATCCTCTTTGGGATCTCAGGGGTTCGGAAGCCGCCATATGGCCCCACGACGCACATGCCAAGCCTTGGCGGGAGGTGGACACGCCCGTGGCCGCACGCCCTCCCCAGCGCTCGGACCTCGTGCGGGCGGGCGCGTCGGCCCTCTGCGCGTGCATCCAGCGAGCGGCCTCTGCGCGTTCCGCACGCGAGCCCTGCCATCCCTGGAGGCCAGCGGCCTTACTGAGGGCCTCTACACACGCCGCCGGAGGCTCGCAGAGTTCTCCCCTTTTCTTGCTCCTCCTCTCTCTTTTCCTCCTCCTCCTCCTCCCCCCACAAGAAAACTCCTCTTCCTCCTCCTCCTCCTCCTCCTCCTCCTCCTCCTCCTCCTCCTCCTCCTCCTCCTCTGGGCCCCTTCCCCCTCCGGAGCAGGGGCGGAGGCGGGCGCAGGGCGGGGTCTGCCCCACGGTCGGAGGGCGGCGCCCGCGCCGATCCTCTCCGGAGGCCTCCGGACGACGGAGGCCTCGGCGCCGCGTACGAATTTGGGCTCCGAGAGTCTTGCGGGGCGACAGAGATGGCCTCCGAACGGCGGAGTCTTGGCCTCCGTCCTGGCCTCCGAGCGACGCGGTCTTGGCCTCCGATCGATTTGGGGTCTCCGTCTTGGCTTCCAGGCGACGGAGTCTTGGGCCTCCGAGCAACGAGTCTTGGGGGGCGATGAGCTGGGAACAGCAAGGGCTGCAGAAAGGTGCCCTGTAGGGCCCATTCGGGTCCCAAGGGGGTCCTTGCCCCAGAAGTGTATGTTCCCCCCCCCCCACACCCCACCATTCATCGCCTCCCGATAAACGTTGCCCAAGAGTCGAGCACATAAGCGATCGAAGCCCTTGATCAGGATGCAGCTCCTGGGAGATGAAGTTCGGCACCGGCGCTGGTTCATCCGTGGTCGAAATCTGGCCTAACGAGGCCGCAATGAATGGGAAAATGCGTCCACTGCTACATCATACGGGAGGCAGCTGGATCCTGCCTCTACAGGCCCTCCGGCCGAAGCCCTACATGCCGTCACGCTGGTCCTGGTCAGGCTGTGCTGACTGCTGAAGGGGACGAGGAGGGGAGAAGTAGGCAAACGACGACGAACGCCCAAGCGGGGGGCCAGGGCCGGCAGGGCGGGCGGGCAGGCAGAAGAGGGGCCAGGCGGAGACAGCAGGCAGGGAGCAGGAGGAAAGAATAGAGAGGGAAACAACGAGCAGAAGGGGAGGGAGGAGGAGGACAAGGAGGAGGAGAGGGGAAGCAACCGCAAGCAGACAGGCTGGGCCAGGGGCCGGACGAGGCTACGGACCCTACGGCGCGGCGACCTGGGCGGGGTGGTTGACCGAGCCCAGCACGCTGCCGTTTAGTAGGGATTGCCCTCTGCGGGATCCATCCATTGCCCCGCCGATGAAGGGCCAGACGGCGCGCGAAAGAGGGGTCGCCTGCGAGACGCTGACGACAGGGCAGGGGGCGCCCGTGCTGCCCAGCAAGGGCGGGGAGGTGAACGGGGGGCGCTAGGCAGCCCCGGGGGCACCTCACACAGCGTCCGCCGTGAAGGCAACCGTGGCCGCGGCCAGTCGGGCCGCTGCCACCCCCGCCCGTCCACACTGCGTCTGGAGGCGCCGCGACACCGCCCGCGCGCTCTCCCTGCGCAGGGAGACGGAAAGTCGCTGGGCGCTATGGTCCGCAATCAGTGCGGCGTCGTCCCTTGTGGCGTCAGCCACCCGCTTGGCCAGGACCCCGAAGGCCCCGCGTGCCTCGCGGCCCCACCCGCCGCCGTGGGCTTCCACCACCATGGGGATCTGCGCCGCGCACAGCCGCGCGGTGTCTTGGCGCTGCTTTTGAACTCCTCGTACCGCTCCGTCGCCGCGTTTGACGAAGCGGCCAAGCGGCCGACGCGGAGAAGAGATCGGCACGCGACCCGGACGTGGCGGCGAAGTCCCAGGCGGCCGCCGTGCCGCTGCGCCACCGCGGCAGGTAAACGTCGGCAGGGCGGCGGCCGTTCTCATCCACCTGGGGCCCGCCCTTCTCGCCCACAGGGGTGGCCTCCCCAGCGGGGCGCGGGGGTAGCAACCCTGGGCGATCCAACTCCGCCCCGGTATGGCCCGCGGCCAGGGCGTCGAAGAAGGCCTGGTTGCGCCGGGCGTTGTGGCGTTTGGTCCAGTCGCCGCGGCAGGCGCAAACCAGGGCGCGGTCGCAGAAGACGCCCATGACCCCGCCACAGGCTGAGCAGAAGCACTCCTTCTCCAGCTGGCCAAATCCGGCACAGTCCTGGTTAATTCCGTGCAGTTCCGCTCTTTCCGGCTTCATGTTGGGCGTGATCCCAGATTCAATCAGGACGCATCTGGCCTATGGCCCGCTAGTCGTTCTTGCCAGGACCTCCAAGCCGTTGTTCTTTTTAGCTTGGACATGATCGACCGTTTTTGCATCCCCTGCTGATAACGGGCGTGGCCAGGGGGTGGGAGGGTGGGGAGGGAGGCATTTACGGCGCGAGTCGTGACGTGACCAGGGGGTGTCGGTGGTTTTAAATAGGGTCTAGAAGGATGGGGTCCTAAGGACGAGGTGTTTGAGACAACGTCGATCCACCCTTAGATCCCTTAGGTCCCGAATTCCTTAGGACCCCCTCTTTGGACCACCGAGGCTGGGCGCTGGGAGGCCCGCGCGTGGGTGGGGGCCCGCGCTGCGTGGCCCAGGCCAGGCAGGCGGTCCGAGCGTAGGCCTGCTTCAAGAGGTCGGAGAGAACAACAAAAATGCGGGAGGAGGAGGAGGAGGAGGAGGAGGAGGAGGAGGAGGCGAACAAGGAGGTCAAGGGGTAAGTGGAAAAAAGGGGAGGAGTGGGATAGTGGGGGCTTCCTTGCGCCCATCAGAGGTCCTCGCGAGGAGCGGCGTCAGCGTGACGGTGACCATGCGGGCGGTCTGGGATCCCGCCGGCGCGTGAGGTACGGCAGCGCCCGTGGCACGCGGAAAGAGTGGCGCCTCCTCTCCCGAGGATGGGAGATTTGAGGCTTGTGCTTGGGTTTTTTGGGCCTCCACAGAGTCGTCGGCGGCGGCTTGCGACATCCCTGGCAGGGCAGGGCCAACCCAATCGGTTGGTTGCCTTTTTGGGGTCTGGGGTGGCCTGGGCCAGCCTGCCCTCGGAGGCCCCAGGTGGTCGAGGTCGTGCCCTTGGCCCCGCCAGAGATCCCCGACGGGGGCGCCTGGTCGTTGTCGACGTAGTCGGCGGCCAACGACATCTTCGGCGGGGCAGGAGGCCACCCTCGAACTCGCCTCGAAGCCCCCGCCAGAGCTCGCGGGAGAGACCTGGATCGCCGGCTGGGGGGGGGGGGGGGGGGAGGGCAGCAGGGCCTCCAGGCAGGTGGGGGGTGGAGAGCGAGAGGAGCGGCGAGCAACAGCAGCGAGGGCTAGGTGGTCATCGTTGTTATCGTTGTCGCTGTTGTTTCGGTCACGTTCAGAAGGGGGGTAGAAGGAGGGGGGAAGGCTTCTCAGAAGCACCTCTGCTTGTTAGAAGGCACGGGCCCCATCTATAGGTGTAGAACTGGCGCGTTCTAAGAAGCAGCCTCCTGAACCCCCCCCCCTACCTCTACACCCCCGTGCGCGCCGCCAGTTGTCGCTGCTCTCGTTGCGTCTGTTTTTGTCACTTTTACAGTCGGATCGAGGTAAAAGATCGAGGCCGGTTCGGGGAGAACCCTAATGTTCCTCGTGATTGTTGGATGTTATTGTACATCCTAGTGAGGGTACATGCTATGTGTGTTTTGGCCAGCGGAGGGTCTCATGTGTTTGAGGGATGTTCTTCTGGCCTAGGTCCGACTGTATCGTTACTGCTGTTATCACCACGCTACTGAAGCTTGATATTCGTAACAGATACCAGGATGGATCACAGGTCGTTTTCAAAATAGAGCTCTCGCCATAGCACCGCGCATACTTTTCTAATCACATCATCATGGCTATATGGATGGAGTGGGGCGCTTTTCATATTGAGCTCCCTCGCTCGCGCCGCGCAAGTTCAAAAGCTAGCAGCAGCTGCAATGAGGCAGGGCGGCGACTTGTCAAATCGGGGCTCTCGCCTTAGCGTCGCGGACGTTCCTTCTAGAAGCTTGCAGCAGTTCTGATGTTGGAGGGCGGTTCTTTTTCAAACTTGAGCTCTCGCTTGAGACCTCCCCACGTAGATTTAGCAGCTGTACGGATGGAGGGCGGCTTCTCGTCAAAACGAGGCCTTTGCTTGAGACGTTCTCGAACTCCATGGCCAGCATTGCAGCCTTGCGCAGCAGTTACACGGATGAGGGGAGAGCGTGTCTCAAAACGTGGATATCGCAAGACACTGTGGGTTTGCATGGTCATACCTTTTCACTTCTCGATTACGTGCTTGGAGGATGCAAGGCAGTTCCTTTTCAAAATTGGGCTCTCGCGCGAACGGCAGGCACGTGGGAGTGCTGGTCTGACAAGGGTGCGCCCCTTGCCAAGAGAATGAAAGCATGTAGGGACTTATGAGGAGTGGATTTGGGACAAGAGGATATAGTGAAGCATTGCTGATGCATCTTCGGCTTGCTCTTGCCTTCCTCCTCGTGCCCGTAGCACACCCTATTTTTCGTCGTGATCCTCCCGCCCCTCTGGCAATCCTCTTCTGTGCCTCCCAGCCCGTGGCCTTCCCGCAAGGCTCTTCGTAGAGTTCGGCACGGGCCCGCGGCGTCGACTCCGCGCGGGCGCCTGGAACTGGACGCGTCCTCCTCATCCCCCTCCGCAGGGGATGAGGAAAGGTATCGATACGGCCGCCTTTGCCTTGTTTGCGCGCTTTTGAGCCTCCTGGAAGGCCCTCGTCGCCACGGCTGGATTCGCTGTGATATTCTAGTCAGAACGCACCATAAGAGAGGCCCAGGGGGTAGCGGTATCAGTATCTGTTGGTCTCCCCAGCTTTGTCGTCCTCCTCTTCCTGACGGATTTCGCAGGGTCCTTCGGCCCAAGGCCTTAAGTTCTCATCGGCAAGGATGCACTGTGGCGAAAGTGCTCGGGAGTCCAGTGCTCCACCGAAGGCCCGCATGCCAGCGCTTGCACGCAGCCACTGCGCTCATCCCGGCACACCTCTCACGCGTTTCGCGTCCGTTTGCAACCCCACCCCGCTGGACCTCCCAGGAGCCCACGAAAGTGCCGACAATGGTGCAGTTCGCAGCCCCACCAGGGAGACGCGAGATTCCAACGCGGTCCGTTTACCTTTTCGCTCCGCTGGACCTACCAGGAGCCCACGAAAGTGGCGACAATGGTGCAGTTCGCAGCCCCACCAGGGAGACGCGAGGTTCCAACGCGGTCAGTTTACCATTTCGCTCCGCTGGACCTCCCAGGAGCCCGCGAAAGAAGCGACAGTGGTGCAGTTCGCGCCCCCCCCCCACCACACAAACAAAAATAGACCCGCGAAGTCTCAACGCGGGCCATTGGGCTCCGCCGGAGGCCCAGAGGCCAGCGTTCGCATGCGGCCACATCACCCATTCTGGCGCACCCCTCACATGTTCCGCGGCGCCGTAGGGAGCTCCACCGAAGGCGCAGGTGCCAGCGCTCGCGCGCGGCCGCCGAACCCATTCTGGTACGCCCCTCGCACGCTTCGGCCCAGATGCCAGCGCTCGCATGCGGCCGCCCCATTTATTTTCGCACACCCCTCACACGCTTCGCGGCCCCGTAGGGAGCTCCACCGAATGTCTGGATGCCAGCGCTTGCACGCGGCCACCGCATTCGTTTTGGCACACTCCTTCACACGCTTCGTGACCCCATAGGGAGCCCCACGAAAGGCCCAGATGCCAGCGCTCGCATGCGGCCACCGCGTACACTTTGGAACACCTCTCACACGCTTCGTGGCACCACATGGGGCTCCACCGAAGGCCCAGATGCCAGCGCTCGCATCTGGCCACCGCGCCCATTCCGGCACACCCCTCACACACTTCGCTGCCTCGTAGGGAGCTCCACCGAAGGCCCAGATGCCAGCGCTCCGGCCACGACACCCATTCTGGCACGCCCCTCACATGTTTCGTGGCACCATAGGGAGCGCCAACGAAGGCCCAGATGCTAGCGCTCGCATGCGGCCGCCGCGCCCATTCTGGTACGTCCCTCACGCGCTTCGCGGCCCCATAACCAGGGAGCTCCGCCGAATGGTTGGGCCATTCGCCAGGCGAACTGGCTGTGGAAAACCCCTTCTGCGAAACCATATGTTTTCCCAGCCATCCTGTGGTGTTCGGTCCTCGTTTTGAAGAGACGAAAGGGGAATCCAAACCGTGAGTAGCTTTTCGCTTAACCCTGAGTGGCTTTTCGCTTAACTGTGAGTGAATGAATGCACGCTGTGAGTGCACGCTGTGTTGAGTGTACGCTGTGAGCCCACGCTGTGAGTGCACGCTGTGTTGAGCCCACGCTGTGAGCCCACGCTGTGTTGAGCCCACGCTGTGAGCCCACGCTGTGAGCCCACGCTCTGAGCCCACGCTGTGAGCCCACGCTGTGAGCCCACGCTGCGAGACCAGGCTGTGAGCCCGCGCTGTGAGCCCACGCTGTGAGCCCACGCTGTGTTAGCCCCACGCTGTGGGCACACGTTGGGAGCCCACGCAACACACTACACGCAACACACCGCACACGCAACACAACACACGCGCAACACACCACACGCAACACGCCGCGCGCAACACACCACACGCAAAACTCCGACACTACACGCAACACACCACACGCAACGAACCACACGCAACACACCACACGCCACACACCACACATCACACACATACACACTTCACGCAAAACACCACGTAACACACCACACGCAACACACCACACGCACACACGACACGCAACATTCCGCACGCAACACTCTACACGCAACACACCACACGCAACACACCACACGCAACACATCACCCGCAATGCACCACACGCAGCACACGACACACAACACACCACACGCCACACACCACACACCACACACCACACACCACACACCACACACCACACACCACACCACCCACCACCATACACCGCAGACCACACACCACGCACCACACAGCACCCATCACGCATCACACACCACACCCCACATACCACACACCACACACCGCCCACCGCACACCGCACACCGCACGCCGCACACCGCACAACACCAACCATGCAAAAAACGCACACACACACACCACCACCCCACCACCACAACCACCACCGCCAACGATACCGCCACCACCAACGCCACCACCATCACCACAATCACCGCTACCACCACTCCCACCACCACCACCACCACCACCACCACACACACAAACGCACGCACACACACACACCACAGAAATCACTCTCGGACCGCGCGGAGAAATCCAGCGCGTAAGCAATTCGAGATTCCGTCGGGCCCAAAGCGTGCACTCAAAGCGTGTGCTCACGGTCTTTCTCACCGGGTGGTGCGCAGCGTGCGCTCACAGCGTGCACTCACAGCGTGCATTCATAGCGTGATTGGCCCACGCTGCTGTGCGTGCCCGCCGTGGTGAGCCCACGCTGTGAGCCCACGATCTGAGCACACGCTCTGAGTCAACGCTGTGAGCTCACGCTGTGAGCCCACGCTGCGAGCCCACGCTGTGGGCCCACGCTGTGAGCCCGCGCTGTGAGCCCACGCTGTGCGCCCACGCTGTGAGCCCACGCTGTGAGCCCATGCTGTGAGCGCACGCTGCGAGCGCAGGCTGTGCGAGCGCGCTCGTCAGCTCAGCTAGCTCTCGACGCCGCGTGCACTCACAGCGTGCACTCGCAGCGTGCACTCACAGCGGGCGCTCACCGCAGCGTGCACTCACAGCGGGCACTCACCACAGCGTGCACTCACAGCGTGCGCTCACAGCGTGTACTCACCACTGCGTGGGCTCACAGCGTGCACTCACAGCAAGCGCTCACCACAGCGTGCACCCACAGCGTGCACTCACAGCGTGCACCCGAAGGGGAATCCAAACCGTGAGTAGCCTTTCGCTTAACCGTGAGTGGCTTTCCGCTTAACCGTGAGTGATTGAGTGCACGCTGTGAGTGCACGCTGTGAGTGCACGCTGTGTTGAGTGTACGCTGTGAGCCCACGCTGTGTTGAGCCCACGCTATGAGCCCAAGCTGTGAGCCCACGCTGTGAGTGCACGCTGTGTTGAGCCCACGCTGTGAGCCCACGCTGTGTTGAGCCCACGCTGTGAGCCCACGCTGTTTGCCCACGCTGTGAGCCCACGCTGTGGGCCAACGCTGTGAGCCCACGCTGCGAGCCCACGCTGTGAGCCTACGCTGGGAGCCCACACTGTAAGCACACGCTGTGAGCCCACGCTGTGAGACCACGCACACACACGACACGCAACACACCGCACACGCAACACAACACACGCGCAACACACCACACGCAACACACCGCACGCAACACACCACACGCAACACTCCGACACAATACGCAACATACCGCGCGCAACACACCACACGCAACACACCACACGCAACACACCACACTCAACACACCACACGCCACACACACACACGACACGCAACATACCGCGCGCAACACACCACACGCAACACACCGTACGCAACACACCACACGCCACACACGACACGCAACACACCACACGCAACGCACCACATGCCACACACCACACACCATACACATACACATTTCACGCAAAACACCACACGCAACACGCCACATGCCACACACCACACGCATACACGACACGCAACATACCGCACGCAACGCTCCACACGCAACACACCATACGCAACACACCACACGCAACACACCACCCGCAATGCACCACACGCAACACACGACACACAACACACCACACGCCACACACCACACATCACACACCACACACCACACACCCTTTTGCACACCGCACACCTCCTACACCACACACACACACACCACCCATCACCACCCACCACAGACCACCCACCACGCACCACACAGCACCCACCACGCATCACACACCACACCCCACGCACCACACACCACACACCGCCCACCGCACACCGCACACCGCACGCCGCACACCGCGCAACACCCACCACGCACGCACGCAATGGTCTCCTTACCGTTTCTCGCCGCCTTTTCCGCCAGACTTGCCATCTTTACCTTTTCCTTTATTGTCCGAGCCTTTTCCTCATCGATTGTTCTGCCAATAAGTTTTTTCCGATGTTGACGGTGTCGGGAGGGGCGATGATGTTGATTATTTTGATGTTGGTGCTGCTCTTCCAAATCCATATGATTATCCGTCGTAGTCGTGCTAATCATTGTCTTCTTGCCAATCGTCTTCGAACAGAATCATCCTCGTTGTTACTGTCGAAATCATATTCGAACTCTTTTGACCAAGACTCGGAATCCTCGCAGTCGTTCTTATATCCACGGTGTTGCTCGTTCGCGGCCGATTCGTTCTTGCTCACCTTCAATTGTAGTTGAACCATGTCGCGCCATCTATTGAGGGCACCGGTGACCTTCAAGCGTAGATCTGCCACCTCTTCGTCAGGAAACGTCGTCTTTGACAAGCAAAACCATGCTTTTGCCGATTATCCCATCTGTAGTCCTCATCGCTCAGCTTCCTCGCACAAGTGGTCCAGTTCGAACAAGTAAGAGATGACATCTTGACTTGGTCCTTGTCGAAGCGTGAAGAATCGATCCAGTGATGTCCAGGCAAAATGTCAAGCATCCAATCCATACATTTTAAAAAGCCTGTCCGTCAAGATCTTGATGCCATTATGCTGTATTGGAGCGATCTCAATGCCATTGGGATCGAAAACTGCTGGAGCTCGTGCTAGGCTGACTGCTTCAATGCTTCGGTAATTCAGAACGTTTGCCGCTTGTTAGTGTCGATTTGCTCGTTGATCATGTGCTGTTCGCAGGGCCAGACCTTCGAGCTGGCTCATCACTTCTGCGCCAAGCTGGTCTTGATCCAACCGAGTGAGACGACTCCATATATCCAGAGTTTCGCGATATTCACGAATGGGATTCGCTCGTGGGCGCCAGCCTGGTGGGATATCTTTGGAACAGTGTTTGAACGAGATATAT